GTTTATTGCTTGGAAATGGTTGAGATCCCCACCATATAACCACATATACAATTGCTGAGTATAAAGAGAAGAATGCACATTTGCTTCCAGGATGGCCCTAGGGTCTGGCCCCACCCTTGGAAACATAGTCCTTGGGCCATAACTTTAAAATTGTTGAGATCCCCACCCCAAACTTATATATACAAAAGCTGGGCATAAAGAGACGAATGCAGTCATGATGTTAGAATAGACCCTGGGGTCTGACCGAACCCCTAGGGACCTAGTTTCTAAGTCACAGCTTGGAAACAGTTGAGATCCCCACCCTATAAAGAGATGATTGCACAATGCTTCCAGGTTGGCCTTGGGGACTTCCCCACCCTTGGAGACTTAACCCCTGGGTCATAACTTTGAAATGGTTGATATCCCCACCCCAAAACTATATATACAATTGTTGGGCATAAAGAGACGAATGCAGTCATGATATTAGAATTGACCCCAGGGTTTGCCCCACTCTTGCAGACTTAACCCCTGGGTCATAACTTTGAAACGGTTGAGATCCCCACCCAAAACTATATATACAAAGGCTGGGCAAAAAGAGACAAGTGCAGTTACGATTTTAGATTTGATCCTAGGGTCTGGCCACAACCGTAGGGACCTAGTTTCTGAGTCACAGCTTGGAAACAGTTGAGATCCCCACCCCATAACCATGCATAAAATTGCTGGGCATGAAAAATCGAATACAGATATATATGCTACAAGGATTGGCCTTGGGGTCTGGCATATTCCCTTGGATCTCATTTGGAGAATATTTTGCCATGATTGCTTAGATATCCAGGTGAGCGATACAGGCCCTATGGGCCTCTTGTTTAAGACTCAACCATCAATTTAACATTAAGTATAAATGCCTTCCTAACCATACCCATAGTTATATGTTGAATAGCCCAACGTTTTATTATTGCACACATAGTGTAACTGAACCTGATTCGTTAAAGGTATGATGAATGGATTAAGCCCGAGCGAATTGTCAACATCATCAATAGACCGGACTCGGATAAGAAAGTGAAGGACTGTTCACCAAAAGGATCAAAGCAGCAGGTAGGTTTAACTTGTTCCCAATTAGAAAAATTATTATTTTGGGAAATTAACAAATCATATACATATATATATCTTGCAAATGGGCAATCATTTTGTATCTCTGTACATGCCGTTTGAATTCTAAATTTCAATATTTCTGAAAATATCAAAGATGGAAAATATGGTTTGAAGCTAGTCGTTAAGTTAATCAGGAATTAAATAATTTTACACTAGAATATTTTGGTGACATTATCATCGGTATTTACTTGGCAAGGTCAATTTGTACATATTTTAACAAGGTAGTGAACATACTGATCAAATAGAAATGCTATATACCTAAAGACTTGGTGTTTTTCCTAAATCTTTGCAAATCAGTTGCATCATTTCTGGAGGAACAGTTCTGAAATAGGTTTATTACATATTGGCTCTTCAAATCGGGTAATTCACTTACCTCAGTTTCAAGATCTAAGTGAAGTTTAAACCTACTTCATTGAATTGCCAGAAGTAAATGAATTGGGCACATGTTATTATGAATGTCAGGGATTGTCAGTTTAAGGTATGACCAAAAAATCTGAACCATTTGAATAAGATTTTTGAATGTCAAATTATTTGGCAAGCCTGGGGTTTGAACATTTATTTAAGTACCCTTCAGATTTTGGTCTTCATTGACATGTATGTATTTAAATCATGAGTATTTTTTAGTTGGTGATGATGAATAAAAAGAGAGGGAGACCTGGTTCCACCCCACCCCAGCCAAGCCCACCAAAACCGACCATCATTGTTGAATCACGTCCTGGTCCTGTGAAGGCCAGATCTCCCGCCTCCAGTACCAAAGCCAAGTCCAGACCCACCAGATCAAACAGTGTGGAATTTAAAGTCATTGATGGATTACCACGTGAGTAAAAAAATCTTGCAGATATTACAGTTGTAATATTTTTGTAAAACATAACAGTCATGTGGGAGGGGATGGAAAGATAGAGATAAAAAAATGATAAAGCTACTTCCAAATATTAATATCAAATTGTATATACAATATGAATAGTAGTATAATGGCGTGTGTTACTACTAGCATTGTTAAATTGATATCTCCTGCTTTTACCGAAACGGGGGATATTAATTTGGGCTTATCTGTCTGTCTGTCTGTCTGTCTTGAAACTTTGTAACAGGGTTAAATGCCTTTAGGGCCGAGAAACAATTTTCTCAAAACTTGGTAACAGGGGTATATGCCTTAAGGGCTCACCAAAGTTGGACAACCACTTTAATCGGGACGCCACTTGGTGGAGTTATGGCCCCTTGATTAAAGAAAAATTGTCATAATCTGCAGTTTCCGCTTATATTAACCAAATTCCTTCAAACTTGATAACAATGTTTGTGTTCCTCTGTCTTTCCATCCATCTCGGGCACTCTTTGTTTTTCGTGTGATAATTGCTGCAGATATTGTGCAGATATTTCAACCAAATTCCGTATGCCAACCGATGTGATTTGTGCATATTTACATCTAATTAATGAGGTAGCAGGCTTTTTTTTCCTTAAAGTTTCAATTTATACATTATTTCTCAACAGCACGATATTCACATGTTTAAACCTAACATCAATAATGTTTACCTACAACATGTCCTGCAAGGGGGGGATATGAATTCCACGAATTTGCTTGATTTTTTATGGCCATTTGACACCTACATAAACATTTGTTTGCTATCAATATTTACAGCCAAGTGGCGGAGGACAAGGAGGAACTCGGGAGTAACTGAGTCCGATGTCAATTCTCAAGGTATGCTACCATTGTATCTACAATTATATTATAGTTAGGGTTAAAGCATGCAGACCTTTATATATTCGTACAAATCTTGAAAGTATTTGATAAAATTAATTGCTTGATCACTATGAAAAAGCCTGATCGAACCAGTAAAACCATTTGATTACAATAAACTTAATCAGAGTAAATTTTGATGGATAAAAGCAAACCTTTATCTTTTTCAGATATTAATAAAGTCTATTATTGTAACTGAGCGAGATCAGGTTATCTCACATGAGGGCTAAGATTTTGTAACATAATTCCATCAGAGGCTTACGCCTCGGTTAGGATGTTACAGAATCTTAGCCCGAGACTGAGATAACCCCCATCTTGCTCAGTTACAGGTAATTGATTTTTTTTCTCCGAAAAAAACTATTCCATTTTGCTAAAAGCTACAAGTACCCCTTCTGGGGCCTCAAATAAAAATGGCCTCTACACTACTATAACTACATTTGAATAACTCCATGTAAAAAGTAGTCCGTCTTTACAAAGAAGACAATGTATTTCACAGAGTAGGTTATATTATATCTACAACATCAGATGATATCTTAACAATATCAAAACAATACATATAACAACAAAACAGAATATTTATAATGCAGATTGTCAATCTCAAGCCCTTAACGCACAGATGAATACATCACAGTGTAAAAATTCCGCAAAATGTCATGTAAAGGTACCAGACAGGTCGGATGAGATAGAAAAAACTAGCATAGGGTATGACGTGGGATTTCTCTGTCTGAGGTGCAAGAATGTACACTCTTATCACTTACATAATAAAGAGATTAGATCTTTATTAGATGAAGATGTATATTTCACATTTTAAAACCTGTTGCAAAAATTACAGCACTTTAATAAGAATGAAAGATGATTCATCACAGAAATTATCTTATCTGGGATGTCTGTATTTTTCTCTTTCCACAGGGTCAGACTTTGAGGATTCTGATCAATCTGATATGGATGCAGATGAAAAAGAGGATATGGATGCAAGTTCCCCTGAAATAGAGGAAATGGAGAGAGACACGAGTGTGGACTCATATGATGAAGATGAAGACAAAGGAAACGAGAAAGATGTTGATGCGTCTTCAGAGGATATGCCTAAACTAGAAAAAAAGGCAGATGAATTAGAAATCCCAAATCTTACAGAAGTCAAAGATATATCTGAGGAACCTAAATCAAAAACACAAGGCAGTAAGTCAACCGCCCCAGAATCTGCTCCAGATGTTATCATTGCTGTGACAGTGGCGGTTGATGAGCAGGAAAGAGACAAACAAGAAGTTGATCCCTTGGAATCTGCTCCTCAGTTAGAGGCCGTAGAGGATCTTACACCAAGTGAAGAACCAGCAGGTCAGGATTCTTCCTCATCAGAGTCAGACAATTTAAAAAAGGATGTGTTTAAATGGGACATAGAAGAGGAAGAAGGAGAGGGCGCTACAACAAAAGAGATTGTTACTGATATGTTAGATTCTTTAAAAGAACAGACTGAAAAAAAACTGTCTGATCTTATGGCAGAAAATGCAGAAAATGATGAAGATATACCTCCAGTGATGGCACCCGTTCTGGAGAAACAGGTGGACCACAAAGTGGTTAATGATGATATTGACAAACCTGCTCCGGAAATAAGACCCGAAGTTATCAAAGCAGAGAAACAACAGGATACCGAGGAAAAAGAAGCATCTGCGAATGATGTTTTCGACAAATATGAGTTTCGGGATGATGAGGAAGAAATAACTTTACCTGACCTACGTGCAGAAGCAGAGAAAGAATTGAAGGAGAAATTGAAACAAGAGGCTGGGGAGATTGAGAAAAGAATAATTAAAGGTAAAAAGAAGGAGGTCAAGGAAAAAAAAGAATGCAAAGAAAAGGAAAAGAAGGAAGTTAAGAAAGGGAAGATGACCATGGCAGAGAGAAAAATGGTGATACTGCCAGAAGGAACACCAGAGATTGAGTATGAACCTCCACAGAAAAAAGCCAAAGAGGAAAAGCCTTCTCCAGCAGCAGAGAAAGTCCCAGAGACATCTACAGAAACAGCCATGTCAACCTTAGACAAGGTGATCAGTAGTGTGTGTGATAAAGCAAGGGAGTTTGTCATGGAGGAAACAGAAGGAGAAAAGAAAAAAGTGAAGAAAAAGGTAAAGAAAAAAGAAGCAGAAGTGGTAACACCAGAAGTAAAACGAGAGACAGCAAAGAAGGAAACTAGTAAAGGTGTGAAACCAGTGAAAGGGGAGAAAACTCCTAATAAGGGGAAAGGTAAAAAGAGCAAGGACGGTGGAGAGGGTGAAACAGAACAATTTCTGGACAGTCCAGTTAGTACTTCAGTCAAAACTGATGGGAAGAATGAGTGTGCGATGTCTCCATCTGTTAATCCCTCATCACATGATGTGGTCAGTGTTAAAACCAGAGCTGTGATAGATCCTGCGTTAGAAAGTAACCTGCAGATGCTCTCAGGTGTCGAACTTTTGTCTGGTATAGCTTTAATGAATGCAAACGTGGTAATTGGTGGTAGGATGAACTATGGGGATCCTCCAAAGGAAGTGAGTAGTAGCTCTGCAGCTAATACTGTGCTGGACAATACCCCACCCACCACTCCTGAGCATGACGACTCAGATGGTGCTCAGTGTGCTTCTCGGGATCATTCCTCATCATCACAAGAGTCTCAAAATAAATCAGAACTTGACAATGGTGCTGAAAACGAACGGCAATTAGTAGGGGGTGAATCTCCACATGGTAATGCTAGTCCATCATCAAATGATGGCAGTGTCGGTAGTGGTAATGTGGCTTGCTCTGAGAGCAGCAATTTAGATGTGCCAGTATCCTCAAATCTCGGTAAACGGAGGAAAGAATCTGAAGAGCCTACACCAACAAAAAAGAAGAGAAAAGCAAAATCAAAAACAACATCTGAACGCAAAACATCAAAAACTACAGGTAAGTTCAGAGTCCAGTGCTGCTGCTAATGTACACTAGAAACCTCCTTTCTGAACAGATTTTGATAAGTCTTTGAGGTCAAGTATGAGATTACCTCAAATTACTTAAAATTTCAGGGTGCCAAGTTTGCCATTACTATTTTTACAAATTTGTCAGACAGTTTCTCGATTTACTAGTATTGAAAAAAATCCAAACATCTTTTTCCTGGGACATTTTCTTTTAAAGACTAGAACCATTTTGTGCTTAATACAGGTATGATTTGTTTTTCAAATACAGTCTTTAGTGGATTTATGTTTGTCTTGGACAGATCAGCCAGAGTAATGAAAAGAGGTACAAATAGCGAAACGTGGTGTGTAATCAGTGAGATGTCACCACAAGGTGAATACATGAGACAAATGGAGTGAACAGTAGCTTCCAAATGAACTCATTACTTTTGAGAAAATGGAAATTCTATGTAGGTCATCAGTGATCAGTCACCCGCAGATTTATCAGTCATGAAACAGTCAGACTCCCAAGTGAAATTATGGCATTTTATCTATGAATTTGCCAAGACAAGTATTTGAAGGAAAAAAGAAACAGTTCTATGACTTTTCCCAATTTGGACTATTTGACTATTTCCCAAAATGTCTTGTCTTGTCGCCTACAAATACCTAAAACCTGAATGGAGATGACATTACCATATTTTAAATACATGGGTGCATGTGCTTTCCTTATCTTGTTTTATTACTGCTGTATAATTGATATAGAGGAAAAATCCTTGGCACTGACTTGTATTCAATATCATAAATTATATAGACCAATTATGTAAAATGAAAAGAAAATGGAAAATATTAGTGGCAAATTTCATGTTTGGGAGTTCAGGGCCCTATCCATAGACATGAATATACGTGTGTTATACTTTGTCATGAGTCATGCTCTTGGTCAATGTGTTAATGCATTGAAAATAGTATAAAACTAAGGTGTAAACTTGCATTAGGTGTGTACAGTAATAGATAGTGATCATACTAATTTTTTTTCAGCAGGTAGTGACAGTGATGAAGGAAACGAGGGAGAATGCAGTCAAGATCCTAACGCATCAAACAGCAAATTATCTCCACACGTACCTGGTTCAACTCACTCACCACGCCCATCCCGCTACAACCTCAACCTTGGTAAGTTTCACTTATCTTCTACATCAACCTGTTTAAGTTTCCACCTTTCCTGTTCATCATCAATCCATCCCTTTCCTGTTCAACATAAAGTTAACTTGTCACCTTTCCTGTACAATGTCAACCTAAATGTCACCTTTCCTGTACAATGTCAACCTAAATAACTCCTTTCCTGTGTAACACAAGCTATATACCTTGTCACCTTTCCTGTACAATGTCAACCTAAATACCTCCTTTCCTGAGTAACACAAGCTATATACGTTGTCACCATTTCTATACAACACAAACCTGTAAAATTTGTCATCATTTCTTTACAACATCAGCCTGTATAAACCTTCATGCTCACCTGTCCACTACAACACCCTGCTAAGTCTTCACCCAAAGCCTCTTTAAAGCTGTGGTCGGTCTTAACCCCTCCCCTACAATGTTAAAAAGTGTTAATTCATCCCCAAGCCTTGGTTAAAACCCTTTCTTTAATCTGTTCTGATCAAGTTGTCATCTCTGCTCTTTTCCGAGGACCCACTCTGTCGGTAACTAAATGAAGGTTTCACATTGGCATGATAACTTTTCTTCTGTTAAGCCAATCACAATGTATCCTGGACTGTTCGACTTTTTGACAATATAAATAATTTGATCAAGAGTTGTTCATTATGAAATAGGGATGGACTTGATGTTGCCATCTTGCAAGCCTTGGCCAAGACTTCTAAAGCCTACAGGTCTGTCAGGCTTAATCTCTGAAAGGATACACTGAAACATAGACACACACACTTGTCTGAACAAACTGACCTCATGAGAGAAGATCATTGTAGATAGCTCTTTATGACCACTTATTGATATATTTGTCTTTTACACAATCCAGGTAGCTGCCACATTTGAGGCTATAACTTCAGTTATATTGGACTTGCTTAGAGAGTATATGAACTTTGTTTGAACAACTGCCTTTTTAAAATTTTAAGTGAAAGTGCTGTTGCTGCTAATCCCAATGTTTTGCGTTAGCAGGTGTAATTTGGAGACTCCAGAGCCGTCTCTGTTTCCATTTTGGTTAGCACTTGTGGAATTGTCACCGAACATCACACTTAGTAATATATGTATTTATATTCTCTTCTTGAGTTTGTTATTTTGTTCAAGTAAAATCTAATACACATTTTCATGTTTTCAGAAGAGGGAAAGTATTTGGAGGGAGAAAAAAGAATATCATTCTTGATGGAGAAAATTCAGGAAATACGCAAAGTGTATATGAACTTGAAAGCTGAAGTGGCCTGTATAGACAGGCGAAGAAAGCGAGCACGGCGCAAAGAAAGTATGTAATAACCTATCTTATTCATGAAGTAATTAAGAAATATGGTTGGAAGGCATTGATCATCAAAAAACTTTTTTCATTTCATATATGTTTTCTACAGGAGTCGATTGTCCAAAGTCTATCATGAAAATTGTATTTATACTTGTGTATTAAAAGTTGGTGCCCAGTGAAGATAGGCATGAACTGGCTTTCATACTTTAAAACTTGAGTTGGAAATAATATTAAGTATAGTGGCATATATCAGTTCACTTAATTTGGTTTCTCTGTGTATGAAACTCTGAACAGATTTAACCATTTTTCACTATTCTTACATATTTCATTCTATTGACCGAGTCATCAATAGCTATCACTAATAAATTTAATTAAATTACACTTTGATTGATTGATTGGTTTTATGCCAGAACAATGTCTATAATTCATTGGGTAGTTGTAAGAAGATTATTTTTGATAATTTATTTAATGTGGGGAGTTAAGTTGGGTTAAAACATATGAGACAAGAATTGTTAAAATTGACAAGATATTCCCAGTCTCATAAATTGATTAACTGCATAAAGGGGGATAGCATTATGATTATTACGACATGTAAATGTTTTAATTTTTCTTTGTAGGTGCTCACCATTCATCAACAGCAGCTGAAACCGAATATTGTCGGTGACAGGGCCAGTATCAAGAGTTTTTGTACTTATCATCTTCACTCATCATTACATCATCTTCATAACGTGCTTTTGTTGACAATTTGACATGACTGCCATCCTAAAGCATGCTCCATAGTACTGTGCACTGGTGGGTCATTGGTTGCAGTGCTATTCCATGGCATGCATGTTGAAGTACATTTTGGATAAATATCATTTACCTATTTATATACATTCTTACTACTGAGTGTTTCTCTTGTACGTTGTTGGTGCATTTTACAGTGTGTACAGTTTACAGATGTTTGTAAAACACAGGTAGTCAGTTTTCTGTGTCATTTCCACAAATGCTCTATTTTCAAATGGACTAGAAAGAGATATTTCAGGATTGTTAACAAGATATATTTTGTTAAATGGTCATTTGTAGGGATATCAAAACAATTTTTTTCTTTTACTTCAAATGAAGTATCTCTAATTCTGGTAAGCTTTATTTGATATCTAAACCCTTTGCCCCATGAAAGCACCTTTTGACACCTCCCCACTTTCATGTTGTTAGCGTTTTGGATGCCTCTACACTGTCTTTGTGTAAAAGGTTTTAGAAGCCATGCTGTTTTGGTTTATTAACTCATTCACCCATGAAATTTTATAATGAACTATTCCAAACATTGAATTGGAAGAGTTAAAAATATGTTTTCAGGGGTGAATGAGTTAAACCACATGAAATAAGGTTTGGAAAAAAGCAAAATGAAAATGTCATAATTTCTAAAATATATTACTATTTTTCAATATTTGTACATGTACAAGAATGATTAATTTCCTTTTTTTTTTTGAAATCTACAAGAAGTGTAATGGAGATTCTGTTGATTCCAAATGTGTTGCGTTGTAATAACACTTTATTTCCCAACAATATAGAGTGGCTGCTTGGGACAAAAAGTTAAGATACTAAGTATATTGACCAAATACCCAAGGAATGATATGTGGTTTCGTCAACAGCCTGAGCACAATAGTTAGGGAGGGGATGCATTGTACTTAACAAGTTGTCAATTAAGAATGTGAGGGCAGCAGTATAAGGCTGTGATTTTCTTATAAATACATGTACATGAATTGTTGACATTTTGAACAAATATGTTTTAAGCATTAAGTTAAACTGGATACCAGTGTGCAATGTGGAGCGGCCAACTGATTATACTTGCTTCTTTTTTTTGCTAATATATGGCAAAATACCATTAATGTTGTGCAAACAAGAATTTTGCTAAACAAATGTGAAGATTTTTATATTTATTTATTTATTTGTTATTTGACAAATATAAATTTTTACTGAATTTTTGTTTTTGACTGAACTATTTTGTTGTATTACATTTTGAGAACCAATACAGAAGATGAGCATGATCTGTCATATGCCTTCACTAATTTGTGACTTTTTTAATATCATGGGAACAGGAAACCTATAGTGATATTTTTATGCAAATTGTGTAGGAGATGTGTTATGCCTGTTTTGATATAATGTCCAAAGATCAATCTTATAGAAAGCAAAATTTAATTGTTCAATCAACTTAGTTGTATGGGTATAAATGCCACTGGATGGAGATATCTGAATTCTTGGTCATTCACAATTTCATGTAGATAATGTGGGTATTTGTCGAAAAATAAATTGTGAGTTTATAAAATCAAATTGGATGAAGGATGAAATTTGAAGCAAACTTTTTTTAATAAGAGCATATATTTTTTTCTAATAGGAAGAAAATATTTTTTTTATGGAATCCGAAGAGTATTTAAATTTCTGTTCTAAACAGCATTAGTGATTTTGTTATATATATGACATGTTATCATAATGATGCCATAAAAAATCATATCGTGACCCTCGGAACCTTAATGTCTCTTGTTGTATGTTGCATTGCAATTAAGCCAAATTTCTTATTTCATTGCAACACTTAAGAATGACCAAAGTTGTATCCTCAGTATTTCTGTTATATTTAGGCATACATATGTACTAGAAGGTTGGTAAGAGTATACAGAGCGTGATTTGAGGGGTAGATTTTTTTTGCCCCACACACTTCTTAGTCTTGCCTAAAACAAGCTCTTGGCATATACTTTGAACACTCATCTTTTATGGTCGATTGTATAGAACATTGTGGTTAAACTGTACAATTTTTCTGAAGTATAGGCTGTAGTGTCACATTATTAAAGGTTCAGGCTATGGTGTTACATAGTTAACGGCGCTGTCAGCAATTTATAACAATGAGTTTCTCCTATAACAATGGGTTTCTCCTATAACATCTGGTTTCTCCTATAAAAAATGAGTTTCTCCCATAACAATGGATTTCTTTTATGACATTGAGTTTCTCCTATAACAATGGGTTTCTCCTATAACAATGGGTTTCTCCTATTGCGAACAAATCTGAAATTGTCTTCCAAAAACTTCCAGCTGTACCAGGTGTTGCTGAAGAAACAACATCATTTTTCAAATTTTGAAAAATGTAGGTGGATATGGGAATTCACTTGTATGAGAAGTGCTATTAGAGTAAGGAGCATATTTTGTTATATGTTATAGGTGTATATTTTATTGAAGTAAATTATATATGTTGGCATTCTTATAAATGATGAAATAAGCAATAATATCATAGTGTTTGTGATATTAACATGATATTCTGAAGCTTGTGATACTGTTGAAACCTTTCCAAAGCTTTAGATATTGTTGTCAATATTGAATTCCAGAATGATATTTTATCAATATCCCGGTTTTAGGTTTTAAGGCAATTGTATGATGAAACAAAGATCAATATTTTTCTGTATTGAGTTTATTTAGACAATCTATTTCATGTAAATATTTGTTTTCCTTTCTTGTCCCTTTTCTCTCATTGTAATGTTAAAATGATTACAAAGATAGAATTCTATCTTACTATTTTAGTACCTAATGTAGAGTTCATTATCTAATTGACCTTTACTATGCCAACCTGTGCTTCCAGCACATTGGGGCTCAAGCAATGAGAAAAACAATGGACACAATTTAAGCACCCAGAAGCTGTGTATACCAACTAAATGGGTTTAAACACTGTTAACCTATGTCTACCAGCTAAGTGGGGATCATACACTGTTAACCTATGTCTACCAGCTAATTGGGTTCAAACGCTGTTAACCTATGTCTACCAGCTAAATGAGGATCAAACACTGTTAACCTATGTCTACCAGCTAATTGGGTTCAAACGCTGTTAACCTATGTCTACCAGCTAAATGGGTTCAAACACTGTTAACCTATGTCTACCAGCTAATTGGGTTCAAACACTGTTAACCTATGTCTACCAGCTAAATGGGTTCAAACACTGTTAACCTATGTCTACCACCTAATTGGGTTCAAACGCTGTTAACCTATGTCTACCAGCTAAATGGGGTTCAAACACTGTTAACCTATGTCTATCTGCTAAATGGGGTTCAAACACTGTTAACCTATGTCTACCAGCTAAATGGGGTTTAAACACTGTTAACCTATGTCTACCAGCTAAATGAGTTCAAAAACTGTTAACCTATGTCTATCAGCTAAATGGGGTTCAAGTAGCTGTCAATACCTACCCTCTAGACCTCGCAGCCGGTTAATACTATCTTATGTCTGTTATTGATTTCCAATGGCGTTTTGTTCATGTATGAACCTTTTTTACTATTGTTGGGAGGCACACATTAATCAACTGATATTTTTTTTGTTACTTTTATATAAGAACAGGCTGCAATAATGTTGTGATGTTTAATTATGGACTTATTCAGGTGTTATGGTTTGTGTAGTGAAATTGTCTGCCAGAAATCCACACCAAAGTATGTTGTGATGCTTGATACCATCGTAATTTGAGATTCATGCTGTAGATCTGATATATTTTAGATGAAGCGTCAATTTTCATAATTTTATACCAGATGTTGGCCAAGCCAAATTTAATACACATTATGGTTGGATCAATACAACTTATAATAAATCAATGCATCGTGAGTGTATACAATGAGGAATTTGTTTTCATTCTCTTCTAGTAAATGAACAGGATTTTTCTGGCGGGTTGAAATATATTTTACACTATGGCAGTGGATCCAGGGGTGATTCAGGTGGTAAACTCACAACTTTGCCCGTGGATTTTTTAACTTAACCCTTGATGATCATGGATCCACTACTCCATTTTAATTTTACACAGTGTAGAGTAAATTGATATAACACTAAAACCTTGTGTGTTGAGTATTATGAGCTTGTTACTGGTAACAGTTACATTCACTAAGCTTTACCCTTATATAGCAGTACAGTGCTATTTTCTATTTACGATTGTTTGTATCCACTGATGCCATACCCATGAGATCTCGTCATCAGTTCTCTCATTTTAGTAGTGTAAGTTTCCCACTCATTTTGTATCGCTTCATATTGATGTACCTGTGATTAGAAGGTCTCCTTGGATATTTTTGTCATATACGTAGCAAATAAAATGAAAGTTTTTTGTCAGTACTGTACTTCTGTTTTTAGGTCACCTGAGACAAAGTCTCAGGTGACCTATTGCGATCGCCTTTTGTCCGTCGTCGTCCGTCGTGCGTCCGTAAACAATTTACATTTTCGACTTCTCCAAAACCCCTGAACCAATTTCAATGAAATTTTGCAGGGACCTTCCATGGACAAAGGTCAACAAAAATAGTTGCCGGTTTAGTCCTAAGCCCCCAGGGGCCTGAGGGGCGGGGCCAAAAAGGGTCAAATTGACTAAAATTTCAAAAAT